TTCTGTTTTAATTAGAAGGTTAAACTGGTAATTTCATAAGATTTTGATTGACAATAAGTGTTTTATTAATTAGTGGATATATATATATATATATATATATATGTTGGTGTTTGTTTGTAGGATCATATGAACCTGAAGTTCATAATTATTTCTAGAAACATCTCTTGTGTGAAAACCTGAAGTTTTCCTTAAAAACATCACCCATGAAAACCCAGAGTTTTTTTCATGTAAATTTAAACCAATACATGTCTATTAGAACCTGTATGTTCTACTCCTATGTGAATGGATTGATTTTTTTTTCTCCATTACACTAACCACATCTTGTCCATTTATTTTGTGATCGGAAGATGTCGAATTTGAACAAACTCGACTTGACACACCCCGACCCGGAATGTTCACTAGGACTCCGAATCAAGCTGTGCTGGTCGACACCTAGAAGTTGAGGAAGCCATAAAGTGTAGTGATGTGGAAAATGTGAATAAATTTAAACCTAAAATTGCCTAAGTACATGAGTGCGCGGTGAGCGGGTAAGGACCCATTTCACACGCGATGTCAGAGCATAAGTAAAGTACAGTAGAGTAAGATAAGGATTATACCATCGTAGGAAGCCACCTGTACTGGGATATGCCAAGAATCCTCATCGATATAGAAACTTTGCTACTAGAACCTAGAGGGGCGCAAAACAAGAAAATGTGAGTGAGCAAAAACAAGGCTTTTCAAAAATCTATTTCTCTTTCCAAAAATAATAACTCATCACCGTAAAACCCGTATAATTTTCCAAAAAATAATACTACGTATATACGTAAAAACAATGCACAAAGGCAGTAAAAACCAAGTATGACATGTCATAGCATTTCAACAAGGAAATATGTAAGCCAGGTGAAATAAATCAATGTAAAATAATATGTCAGTCGGAGTAACCTAACATGACCTGTACGGCTGAACCTATAGCTCATTAACCAATTCCTGCACACAAGTCGGAACCACCTAATGTGGTCTATACGACAGGACTAGGTGTAATAAGTATGCTCAAGTGCTACAATCACGTGAAGACTATGCGAATAATCGTAGGTCACCTACGAATCGGAACCACCTATAAAGGTATGTACGATAGGACTGTGCACCAAACTTGGATCCAAGGTGAGCGTACGGAGTGGAAGGTAAACATCACATGAAGGACTGTGCCCTGGCCACGGGCGGGAGCACTAACACCGAGGTGCAGGTTTATGAACTCTAAGTGCCTCTATGTATAACCATCATAATGCAACTCACAATCATCAATACATATACTCACCTGGAACTTACCTAAGCGTCCGCAACGTCAAACAATAACATACACAACTACTAAAAGCATATACCAAAATATAAAGCATTTGACATGACATATAAAACACAAAATCATTTAAATCAATCTTTCTGGGAAAAACGTAAAGCATATATACATATATTGAAAGCCAAAAGCCCACTCACCGGGAGTCTGGGCTACAACTCCCTAGTACAAACATCGAGGCATCACGAACGATCAGCGCTTAAAACAATTATCAAACCATATCTCAGAATTCTTGTCAATAAAATACTTAACTTACATATCTTATTCAGGAAGATCCATACATCGGATTCCTAATCCGTAAGTTTCTAAAATTCTCAAATATTATGTACTACAACGTATCAAAGTTTAGCGATGATCCAACGGTCAAATCGTCAACTACTATAATAATCGAGTGGTGGACCTTAATGAAACTAGGTTCAAATGACGGAAATTCATTAATCAGACCTCACAAATGGTATCAAGGTAATCAAACTTAACCTAGGAAGGTCATGGGATACCTTGGCCCACGCACCGCCGCAGGTGGCGGTCGGCCGCCCTGACTTGCTGGAAAATTCAATTATTTCCAAAAATTACCAAATTTCACAGAAATGAAGATCTCAGTGAGTAGCGCAACTTTCATAGCTACGACCAAGGCCAATTTTTCTGGGAAAAGCTCCAATTTCACAAAAATCCGCCGGAAACCCTAGTTTTGGGTGGTTCTTGATTCGTCCTCAAATCAACTCCGACGCTCCAACCACTGATTGGGCTTTGTTCTTGACCTCTTGAGGGGTGTTTAGGTGGCGTTGATTGAATGGAAACGTTTCAGATTTTATGGATTTCGACCACGGGTCTCATGGCACCCACAGGTACAAAACCCCCCAATTCCCAACCCAATTCTCTCAAATTTGAAATGGAAATGGTAGAGGAGAAGTAGAATTGATGATTGGGAGTGATGAATCAGCCCAATTTGATGGAAAAATGGTGAAATTCACCAGAGAACCCACCGATTACAACTCGGGTCACGGGTCGAAAAAGAACCCGATCGGTTCCTCCGTTTTCCCCTTCTCTCATTTCTGTCCTTTCTCTCCTCACCCATTGGTCACCCTCTTCTCTTTCATCTCCCCACTCGCTGGTTCCTCCCTCCTTTCCCTCCTTTATACACCATCTCCACTACCCATTTCATCTTTCTTTAAATCTGGGCCACACACATGGCCTTCCAAATTTGGCTCCAGAAATTTGGAATTTTCTAGAAAATATTAATTTACAATTTTGCCCTCAACTTTAAACATTAATATCTCATTCGTTATAACTCCAAATTGCGCTCCATTTGCACCCACGCGTTCATAACGGCGAGTACTACGATAATACGCCAAGAAAACGAACCTTACATGACACGACAAGACAGTCAATAAAAGTCAACACTTTACCTCGAAGGGCATTTTTGTAAACTCACTTATTAAAATTATAAAATCATAATTTTTAGGGACGGGCTGTTACACGACTTCACCGTTTTAGAGGTATCTGCAAGAAACTACCTCAAGTAGGTCCAAGATGTGAAGCTCCACCTCACCGCAAAGAATTTGTGTCCCACCATTAAAGATAAAACGGACAACTCTGTTGGTGAAGCTAAGAAAGCCACTACCATGATCTTCATCTGAAGACACATTCATGATACATTGCAAACTGAGTACCTTGTTGAGGAAGATCCACGAGCACTTTGGGTCGCTTTGGTTGATCGCTTTGATCACCAAAAGGACATCTTATTGCCTGAAGAAAGACATGATTGGCAACATTTGCATTTCCAAGACTTTAAGTCTGTGAATGAATATAATTCTAAAGTTAATCTGGTCGTTTCTCAAGTTCTGCAACGAGAACTTGATTGAAGATGATCTCTTAGAGAATACCTATTCGACCTTCTCTGTGACCAATATTGCCCTACTGCAACAATATAGGTCTCAGAAGTTTACTAAGTTTTTGAATTTGATCCCTATTTTACTTCTCGCTGAAAAGCAGAAATAGCCGTTGATGAAAAATCATCAAGCTCGACCTACTGGGGCGATTGCTATGCCTGAAGTACATTACAACACAAACCAACTCCCAAAACGCCAACATAGGCGTGGTAGGGGCGACCAAAAGCCACCTCGTCAGGGTCAATAGAACCAAGGCCCATCTGAGGGAGGAAATTGAGCTCAAAAGCACCCTAAACTCGCTCTCAAGGCCCCAAACTTCAAGAATAAGGGCAAAACACATGAAACCATGAATGCAAACACGTGATACCGTTGTGGTTCAAATGACCATTGGTCTTGTGTTTGCCGTGCTCTCCAAAAGGTTGTAGCTGAATATCATTCTCATCGTAAGAAGTTTGAATCAAACTTTATGCAAGTGATGAACCAGAGAGTACCAAGATAGAGGTTTCTGACTTTCAGGAGGCTATCACCCCTATGGAAGATTAGAATCTTAGACATAAACTATTTTCTAGTTGAAATTTAGAATAATGGGGCCAAATTCCACTCTCTCCACTCTCTCTCTATCGTGCCCTCTCTTTCCCTTGTCAATTAAATATAAGCCACATCATAATCCTCAATAAGCAATAAATCCTAAACTTAACGGGTAAGAAATCCTGTAATAAAAACTAATTTCCACCATTTCAAACTACTACAAATTCATTCCGACAAAATCTCACAACTTGTTTAATTGAAGGATGGCATAGCGGAATGCATCATGCCAGTTGCTCTGCATTTAAAAGTGTTCACAAGTATTAAAAATCCAAATATTAACTTAAAAGGTTGTTTGGAAACTTTGTCTGGTAGTTATTTTTTAATTTTCAGTTTAAAAAAAATAAAAACTCAACTGAAAACACAAGTTTTCAGGTTTCATTTTTAAACTGAAAACTTAAAATAGTAACTAAACAAGATTTCAATTTTGAAAAAAGTGAAAGTTGAAAACCAAAAACTAAAAACGGAAACAAAATGGTTAACAAATGGCCCTTAAGTAATTCAAGCCAATCCTCGGTCAATTGCATCATGGAAATTTTAGTTCGTCAGAACATGGTGTGTAACTTAATTTCGAGCAGTAGCAGATCATCCATGTCCTCTTTACTGTTTTGTGTTAGCATCGACTGCTATGTTGCTCTAAATTGGTCGCCATCCTTTCGTCAAATAGAGCTTATGTTTCTCTATGAAAGTGCCTTACGGTTTTATTATTGTAGAAGGAGGTAGTGGGCGAGGTGAGGTGAGGATTTAGCCATAGTAGAACATAGGAGAAGCATGTAAGAAATGAGGTTACGTCTAGGTGAGGGTTTTGGTTATTGGATGTAGAGTGTGTTGATAAATTTAGTTTCGAAATTATTTACATCTTGTCTTTAACAATAATTGAGACAAAATATCACATTTAAATTTTAAGTTGAATATAAATTAGAAGGGAAAATGCTAGGTAGACTAAATTTGCAAATTAAATGATGTGTCACCAATAAGAAATAAGCACGTTAATCAACACTTAAGTAATAATCTAATCATCAACTTTTATATCATTTAGTTTACAAAATTTTGTTTACAAATTCAATCTTCAAATAAAGAGCTTGGGACGATTTGACATAAAAACAAAAAACTTGGGAGCAGGGAGGGTTCACAAAGCCCATTTAAAAATGGACTACTTTTTAGCCCGAGTTATATTTGGGCTTAAACCTCCGAGATCTTTTTTTGTTTTTTTCTTTTGGGTCTCAAGGCCCGTGTTCGTTTTCCTCCTGACAGCGTTCCCAACTCATCAAAATCGACTTTAAGATCCCAATATTTTCTATCCGTTGATTTATTTTTCCACATTTTCTCGGTAGCCAAACGGCCGGTAGGTTTCCATTCTCTTTTTTCAAGCTGAATCATTGCCGTTTATTTTTTCCTGTTTATCTAAATTAACCTTTACAATTATTAAACCCTAAATCATGTTCGAATTCCTTGTTTTTTCAATCTTGTATTGCAGAAATTGAACTTTTGTGGTTGTGGGGATCAAGATCGAAGAGAAATCCATCATGGGGTTCTTAGTTACGACCCTAATTTTCATTGTGATTGGGATTATTGCGTCCTTATGTACCAGAATTTGCTGCAACCGAGGACCCTCTGCTAATTTGTAAGTTTCCCCATCATCCAATTTCACTTTTTTGCTCTCTATATCCCTTAAAATATTGGGTCTTTTTTTTTTTCCTTTGTTTACCAAAATGTATCTAGCCGCTGAATTTATTGGGTATATGATCACACAGATCCTAAGGAATGTTTTGTATTTGGGAGCTAAGCAATTTTTACTCATGTAAATTTGCTTGCAAGTACTATTCTACAAGTTAATTGGTTATGTCACTGCCCATTCATTTTGATATCTGATGTTGGAGAGCTATGCACATCTCGTAATGCAAAGATCCAAGCTTTTTGATGCTGGCGAACTTGTATGAAAACTGGTTAAATTTGTTTAGTTGGTTGTTTGCTAATTTAGTCTAGTCTCAATGGTTTATATGTGTTTACTAAGACTTTCAGTCATGGAACTAACCGGTTCATGTGTAAATGTGACTCAGAAACTTCATTCCACCTGGGATCATCTTTAGAGTTAAGCCACTGACGTGTGGGCCTTCACGACCCTTGGCCCCGGATTGTTAGTTCTTTGTTATCCAATGTTGTTTAAAATGATAGCATTTATAAGGATAAGTAGTCTTTACTATTGCTTTGCGAAAAAAATAGCTTAATATTTGTCTTTCACAGTTTAATTGAGTCTTTATGTTTTGCCTGCTTACGAATATGATGCCGTCATTTAAAATAAAGAGTGGTTTGAGAAAATTCCTTGCAGTTTCTTTTGATATAAAATCATGCTTGTTTGAGCAAAATACTGAATGCTATATTCTTACGCAGGTTCCATCTAACATTGGTTATTACAGCAACGATCTGTTGTTGGATGATGTAAGTTCTTCTGTAACATATTATCGTATATATATTTCTTCGTTATCAGTAGCAAGGTTTTTGATAATTCAGTAGTTTGTGAGACGTAAGATTTTTGGTCCAGACTCTAGATCCAGAACAACCAGTTATGCTCGACGAGAGAGTTATTTCCATTTTGTTGTCAACATAAATTCTGCACTAAGTCGTCTGGATTGGGGGGTAAATGAGAATATTGTTGTGTAGCTCATTGATTGGATGCCTCAGACAGAAAATCCTCCTTAGAGGGGCTTTAGAACTTAGCCTGTTTATTCATTCACTCATTGCAACGGCCAATCCACCCACACTAGTGACAACGTGTCCCATCATGGTAGTGTACTTGTGCTGCCTATCATCTTTCCAAGTGAAATGAACAAAAAAACCCCTCCTTTATTCCTTGGTTAGGTTGACTGCAAAATGGTGACGGTAATGTGGTGCAGTGATAGCTTAGGAAGAGTTTGTGATCGACCCGTTGTGCATGATAAGTTAATGCCTATTTGAGTCAACCTTCTTGCACTCCTGCCTTGCTATAAAGATGTAAAGACTAGATGAATTGGTGCCCGTTGAGTTTACATTTTCTGAACTTTGCTATGATTTCTCTGTGTAATTCTCATGGGATGAAGTTTCCTCGATGATATCAATCAATTTTTTCCTTTTGGCGTACTGTGTAGCTCGAGAGATTGCATTCAGTTATTTAATTTTCTACCCTTTTAATCAACTGACATCATATTTGTGTAATCTTTGGCTTTGTTAGGTGGGCAATTGTATATCTTGCACAAATGAAACCACTCATAGTCCCTATTCTAAATGAAGGAGAGTGAAGTTGCGTTTTGAAAAGCATATATCGCCTCATTTGGTTACCTGGCGCTTGGATGATGGATTGTCTCCAGAGAACATCAAGTTTTAGTCGAATTGATTATTTTTAGTATCTTCTGGTGTTGGATTTGTATGTAAATGTTGGAGTGTAAACGTCGAATTCGTTTGGCATTGTTGCTCTACATTACCTCATATTAAATGTTATATGTACCCTCATTCATTTTTCAATGTCAAGATATTCAAAATCGGATAAATGCGAAGTAAATGGAATAAGTTAGAGCAAGTTCAGTTCTGGATTCTTTTTTAGTTAAGATTCTTTTATCTTTAACTCCAATAAAAGAACCCATCATTATAATGGCATGCTTTTAGTTACAAGCCCACGCTATGATGTTCGGTTTTTTTTTTTTTTTTTTTTAATGTGGTTTAAATTTGTTTGGGTTGTTTTATTAGCACCTCACATATTAATCAATACACCCCATATACTAAAACACCCCATAATTACGTTTTAAACTAAAAAAAAAATGTTAATACAGCCCACTTACTAACCAAGACTACCCTCACACCCCATACATTTCATACACCGCACACCAAAATCTACCTTAAGTCTTCATCTTATCCAAAAAATAAATTTAAACCCTTTGCCTTTAGCACACAAACAGTGTGCATGGTTCTGCTGCTTCAAGGTTTTTGTCAATTTAAGGGAATTAGGCTTTAGATGTGAATTTGATTTTAAACTCATAAATGACCACTTTGCTGGCTTTTCTGAAATAAAAAAATCATGAAAGGCTAGTTGATTATGCTATTGTTGTGTCCATGCAGATTCTCCGTTCTGCAAAATTGCACTACAAACCATCCTAAAAAATAAACAGCAAACATGCATAAATTTTTTTAGCAAACATAAAAAAACAATACTACACTATCTCAAAGAAAGATATGAATATTTTAGAGTACTTCATCTCTTATGTTGCAAAATCCTTTAACATTTTTTATATATAAAAAAAAAAAACATGATCACAAGACATTGTGAGTGCAAGTTCATATAAAATTATATATAATTTATGGGTTGTTAGGATCTTTTTAAATGATTTGGGGCGTAGTTAGAAAATAATTGATTTTTTTTACTTTTTAAGGTTTAAATAGTCATTTTATTATGGAAGTTTTAACGAAAAGTCCGCGGTACTGTTCACTTTAACGAAAAATTACATTTTTATACTAAAAAGTCAAACCTAGTACTATTCAATTTACCCTTTATTTTGTCTTTATCGTTAAAACTCAAAATTTTCAAATCATTTTCATTAGTTTTCCTTATTATAAGTCATTTTAACAATAAATATTAAGTGCGGTGGATTCAACTATTAGTGGATCACTTTCTAATTTTGTAAAACCCTAAAAACCCCAACCCCCATTTGTGTAAATCTGTGAGACGGTGAGACACTGAGAAGCAAACGGAAAAACGATGATGGCTTCATGGACAAACCCGAACGACCTAATCTCGACGACGTCGTCCTCAATTGCCGCAGCATTTCACCACCATAAGGCACTGCCTTCCCTCGGAACATGCATTCCTCTGAGCGGCAAGAGAAGTAGCCCATGGAAGCGTTACCGTTTTGGGGTCGTGAGCTGTTCCTTTGCGCCCACGGAATCGGCCAAGATTAAGGTCGTTGGGGTCGGCGGAGGTGGCAACAATGCCGTTAATCGCATGATTGGCAGCGGTTTACATGTGGGTTCTCTCTCTCTCTCTCTCTCTCTCTATGTTTGTGTAACTGAGAGTGTAATTGGGTTTTTTATTTGAATCCCAGGTGTAAATCTGCATAAATATGTTCATTAACATGTATATTTTTTCTTGGGTCTTTTTCAATGTGTTGTAATTGTGTTTACTTTGCAAAGCCAATTGTAATTTTAGTTGCTAAAAACTTGAAAATTTAAATTTCTTTACTTGTTGCTGGTACTGGATTGATTTTACTGAGTAGACGAACTTTAGTAAGCCGTTGAAAATTGGCGATTTACACTTAAAAAAGGAATTTTTCTGAATGTATTACTAGCAATGCTTTGACAATTACTTGCAATTAATTGGTTACTGAAAGTGTGCTGCTTCTGTTGACATTAGGGTGTTGATTTCTACGCCATAAACACGGATGCTCAGGCGCTCTTGCAGTCTGCTGCTGAGTACCCGCTTCAAATTGGGGAGCTTTTGACTCGTGGACTAGGTCAGGCACCCTCTTTTCGATCTGGGAAAATCTCCATAGTTTTGTGTTGTCTGTGTACATGTATATCGGTGCATGATGTATGTATTTATATACTATAGTGTAGTATCACATTAAGTATTTACACCTATAAATGTTGGGGTTAATGGTATCACCGATGAGGACTTGTTATGTTCTCTATGAGGCCTATGATTTTAATGGATTTGATAGAGTTGCAGGTACCGGTGGGAATCCGCTTTTGGGGGAGCAAGCGGCTGAGGAATCAAAAGAGGCTATTTCAAATGCTCTAAAGGGCTCAGATCTTGTCTTTGTAACAGCTGGGATGGGTGGAGGAACTGGGTCCGGTGCTGCCCCCATTGTTGCACAGATATCCAAGGAGGCGGGTTATTTGACTGTTGGTGTGGTTACCTACCCTTTCAGCTTTGAAGGGCGTAAAAGATCTTTGCAGGCAGGTGTCAATTTGGTCCTCATTTATATCTTGATTTTTTGTAGCTGCATAAATGGATCTCTGTTCGATAATTGTTTTATACACTTTTCCTGAATTAATATAAAAACAAATGTTTCCTTCCCAAGTATGCTTAGACAATTGAATGATACCATGAGCTTATTAGTTACTACTTAGCGTTCACATCTTGTTAGTTAACTGTTACGTGGTTTGGAATGTTGTCTTCTGTAATACTGCTTTATGAGACCGCATTTTACATTGGCTAAAGTCATTATTTAGGACATAGCATATGAAAAAACTCGAAAGATCATCATAACATCTTGACCAATTTAAAATTAACCGAAATGGAGGTGACCCTAGTACTTTCTGTTGCTGGTGGTGAGCCCTAGGTCCAACTAAATAATTTCCAAGTTCCCCAGCTCTGAACCATAATTGAAAATTTATTAGTTTACATAACTAAAGTAAAACTAAAATTTATTCGGTTATCATTGAGTTTTCGTATGAGCAGTATGTGGATTGGGAGTAATCTTACATGCATTCATTGGCTTCTTCCAGGCATTCGAGGCCATTGAAAAGTTGCAGAAAAATGTTGACACTCTAATAGTGATACCAAACGATCGCCTCCTTGATATTGCTGATGAGCAGACACCCCTACAAGATGCTTTCCTTCTTGCTGATGATGTTTTACGTCAGGGAGTGCAAGGAATTTCTGACATAATTACAGTAAGTACTATCTTGAGATGCTGAAACATATAAGAGTTCAAATATTGAGAGCTATTTTGATTTATAGCCTTGCACTATTGTAAATTAGGTTATCATTGGTGAAGTACATGATAATTTGCGAATACAGAAGGACCAAGATGCTGAAACTAATCCATTTCTCAGAATAATCTAATTTTCAGCTCTTTCTACTGAATCAAATTATAGTACCGCAATATCTTTTCTGATAATCTCAGGCAAATGAAAGTGCTGTTTCCTTTATATGTAGATACCCGGACTGGTGAATGTGGATTTTGCAGATGTAAAGGCAGTCATGAAAAACTCAGGAACTGCAATGCTCGGAGTAGGTGTTTCCTCCAGCAAAAACCGTGCAGAAGAAGCAGCTGAACAGGCGACTTTGGCTCCTCTGATTGGATCTTCAATTCAATCAGCTACTGGCGTTGTGTATAATATCACAGGTGGAAAGGACATAACCCTGCAGGAAGTCAACAGAGTGTCTCAGGTAACATTACGGGGTTTTATGCTTTAATCTTGAAGGAAGAACGGGACCCTGAAAATTTTCTGCTTCCATATTAATCTAATGAGAACATTGACTATATTGAAAAGTGGTCTCTTCAGTTGTATGGAACGAGGGAAAAAGTAACTTTAGTGAGCTCAAACCAGCTCCTCAGGATTTACATCATACATTCCCCATAGTGGGAATCAATTCTCCTACCTCTACATTTTCATTTTCGAAGATGAGGGGGAAGTCGTAAATTATTGCTTGTGGTTGGTGCTGGTAGCCCTTTTTTCTTTGCTCCTTTCCTTGGCCTAATGAAGTCTGCAAACTATTGTAAATTTTCAGGTCGTGACGAGTTTGGCAGATCCTTCTGCTAACATAATATTTGGGGCTGTTGTGGATGATCGCTACAACGGAGAGCTTCATGTGACTATTATTGCAACAGGCTTTTCGCAGTCATTTCAGAAGACACTACTAACAGACCCCAAGGCAGCAAAGCTGCTTGACAAGGTTGCAGGGGGTCAAGAAAGCAGAGGGATTCCCCTTCCCCTAAAGTCCTCATCCTCACCCTCCACCATTTCATCAAAACCGTCTCCGAGAAAGCTTTTCTTTTAATTCAGTTTGTATTTTTCTCAGTCTCTTGTGCATTTTGCCATGTAATGATACTGAAGCTCCTATCTATGAGATTTCATGTCACTTTTTTCAGTCAAATCCTTTTATCTATTTCACCTCCCTCTTTTTACTTTCACTGCGTGGAGACTGGCTAAATCAGTGGTCTCTCAAATATACGTAAACACATTACATGTTTCAATCATTTTTCCTCATGAAAATGTGAAGAAAAGTTAATGGGGATATTTTTATTTTAAAACAAAAATAAAAAATTGAAGCCTAAGTTATGGATCCCAATGTGGATTTCTGTGCAGATGCATGTTTTTGTATTTTTTGTTAATAAAAAAATTCATCTTTGGCGAGAATTGACTTCTCACTCACAAATAAAAAGAAATACCGTAGTATTAAGTGGCCCAAGTTTTTTAACACACATTTCAGGTGCAAGGGTAAGCGCTCTAAATCATTTGAGCAACAAATCTCCTGGGTGGATTATCAAACTATCAAGAAAAAATAAATTTTTTGCGTAACAAGCCAAGCACAAAGTCGATATAAACTATTTAGTTAATGACAAGGGGAAGGGGGTAAACCAAACAGAAAGAACATTAAAACCACCATGGAAGAGCATATAAGCTAAATTCATGTTTACACAAATAATTTTGCGAATTCATGTTGTTCCGAGGATTGTGATTCTCTATAGATATAACTCTTGACGAACGATGATATAAGACTGGACAATGTACAACTTCTGGTGTCTCATCTGTATTTCAAAAGATGGAAATGATGCTAAGAAACTTGGGATGTTTGCATGCTTCTTCGCATGCAGGTTGAGGTGTTGTGGTGGTATCAAATGAAGGAGAGAAGGCTTACTTGTATACACAAAATTAAATTGGTCCGCTAAGCTACGAATTACTTTTCAAAAAGTATACAATTATTTACAACTATTTCTTAAAGTAATTATCGATGTTATTGTTTTTTAATTTCACTATTTCTGAAAGTTTCTGCCAACAATGAAATTTCTTTATTCTGGTGCCTTCTGCTTTGTTATGGACCACACTCGTTGCATGTCAACTTTTTATTGTCTTCTTGGACCACTTTCTTTAGTGCGGGGAAGATTTTAACTTTATGCTTTTGTCTGGTGATCTGATGGTCCTGATGAGTATTTTGAGAATTATAAAACTTTCATGTCCTGATGATTAAAAGTATAATTTTGGGTGTTTTCATTAATTTTCCCTAATTGGAAGGTTGGTAGGTCTGATTAGAAATTGGAATTCAGGGACAAACACATAACTGCATCTCCAATTCCATATAAAGTCATAAACCAACAAGCAACAACAAAGATAACGTTCCAAGCCAAACCAAACATACCTGTATAGGAGCAACGCAAACTTTGGCTTCACCAAATTGTCGAAAGTATTGAAAACATGACGATGACTCTCGACAGCAGCATTAGAAATCGTACAGAAATGACTCGCACGGACATATTCCTCTGACCCCCACTTCATTTGTTAAACGTTTCTGTTGAGAGCAAAGCAACATGGAATTTTAAGTAAAACATGGCTTACGCATTATGATTAAGTTGGATGAGTGGTTTTGGTTAAGCGGAAGTAACCTCTATTTATGGATGACCCTTGATTCTTCTTTGATTGCTTTGGTTAGTAGATAATACAGGAATTCGAAGTATATGAAGGTGTTTTCAGCAAAAGGTGCCTTCAATAACCACCATTAAATTATTAAGTAGAATTCCAGAAAATAATGGGGGGAAGGGAGCAAAACAGAAGGAACATTAAAAACACCACCATCCAAGAGCACATAACCTTCATGCGCTTCTGGGGTCACCATCACTTCCAACGAATGGTGCCAAAGTTTCAAGCAAGTTATGTAAGCATAATCTGTCTATTATTTAGGGCCTCAGATACCCGAATAACTTTTGTATGCATACAAATGGATAACCTACAGGACTCTTTAACTACAACACGAGAATCGGAGTTAAACAAATGATTCACATTCTTAAGAACAATAAATACCAACGACAACAAATTAATCACAAGAAGAAAGACAACTCTGGTTTGGGTGTAAAGGACAACACGCTTTCACCAAAATATTCGAACAATGATGCCATTAGATGTCCTGCGTTTGTCTCCTCCTTCCACGCCTGAGCAAGAACTGTTGACCCCTTTACCGTTTTCCCACTGACCTCCCTTCCCAACATGTGTTCCTTTGGTAACTGGTGGGACATCGATACAGATGTGGAGAATCCACCTGCAGCTCCTTGCATGTCAACTTGCATGGAGTTCATTGGCATTGCTCCCACCGCACCATCAGTAGCTAGTTTTTTTAGTGGTGGTTGTTGCATCATGTTGTCTGTGCTTGCTTTGCGTTTATCTAGATTGAACAGGAGGAGGTTAAGCACAAGGACGATATGGGAAAAAGCACATATTGAAGTTAATTGAAGTAAACAAACTTGCCACCATCTTCAAACCTTGTTCTCTGGAGGCTAAAGCTACCATGTGAAGGGAAGAAACATATGTTCTGTATAAATTTTTACAGCTCTAAACAGATTGGTCTTACAAAGAAAATATTCTTGGTTAGCTATACTATAGTTGCATACGTTTGACCCATGCAAACGCATATCCCGAGGCCAGTATGCATGTGCACAGAGGGAGAACTTAAAGAGGCAATTAAGAAGAATCAAGTATTCAACCAGATTTCCAGTATAATTTCACCTTTGCCATGTTCCTTGAAAGATTGAAACAACAAACACTATACAGGACAAAATTTCTAACACCCAAAACCATTCAACAGGCCAGTATAATTCATACCATTCTGAAGTTTCCATTATCACCCTATTTCCTGTCAATTCTACAAACACACACCAAATTTAGTGACAAACAGAAGCAAACACTGACAATGACCATCTAAAACTAACGCCATATCAAAAATCCACCACTTGCAACTTACATTACAGAAGCATGGACAACAATGATTCTGTCAGAATTATATTTAAAGCCAACATCTGATTTCCACAGTTATAGGCCATGCATAGTTTTTCAACGAACTTGGCACAAAACACATCTATTCCGATTCTGCTTGGTATGAGATATCAGCCTCATTAAGTAGGTGGATTACATACTGTATATCATAGCACATACATGCATCACCTTGTCTCACACTCAACCATCCTCCAAAGGCAGACAATTACTAGCTACTCTATGGCTCATTATACTATCTTTAGTATCTTTTAATACAGCCACAAATTCCACTGTAGTTGGATTATCATCATGATTATTTAGTGGTTATCACGAATACTATTTTTGTCCATATATTTATCACAGTTAGATGACTACCTGATTTCTCATTTAGCTGTTGTTTTGTAAAGACAATCCTCAAATAGGAATACTGTGTTTGTCCATATACTTATCACAGTTAGATGACTACCTGATTCCTTATTTGGCTGTTATTTTGTAAAGACAATCCTCAAGTAGGTACCTAACAAGTGAACAGTTTGGATAATAGGATTGCATTGAGTTGGGCCACATGCAATCCTTCCTCTTATGAAAGAAGTTACATCCCTTTCTTAAGTTTTCCAACATAATGTATATACATGTGTGTATGATTCACATTAACCTGAATACCGAATGCAAATCACACCACTCGCACAGAGCAATATGAATGGATCAATGTATGTTCAGGGAACATAGCATAGCAATTAAAGAAGTTAAGGAAAGCGTACTTGTCATTGTTGTTGCAACCTTTCCATTCCTTTTCCAAACAGCATGAGCTGGAGGAGACAACAGACTATGGAACAGCTTGAGCCGATCATGCATACATTGGCCAGCAGCATTCTGGAAGTGGCATACCATGTCAAAGTCAATTTGATAGCAAACCCATGCACATAACAACAAAATTTGGATTGAAATATGAACTAACCAGCAAAGCCCCATAGACACGCCAAGCTTCTTGCCTCTTTATCTCATTCTTTTGCTTCTCAATTATCATTTCTGGCTCAAGAAGTTGCATATACGAATCAAGATTTGGAAGTATGAGTAGACGAACCTGTCCAACATTAAGAAGCATCTCAATTTTCTCAAAGCCAACACAAAAATATGTTTCTAGTAGGAAAAGTAGAAAAACCAAGGCCATGAAGGCAGCCACAATTAAAACTAAATGCAACTGTGCTAAGAAAATATTTCCAACACGCAAGAGACTGCAGCCTTATTAGAAAATTCATGTAACATAAAAGCATGCACTAGAGCATACCACAGTGGGACCAAGAGCTGCTATCCCTTGAATTGCACCATAATGCTGAGATAATGCTTTTGTTGGATCCAAGAAAGCATGAAGCAGAGTCCTTGTCAAACGTGGTTGAAGATTGTGATAAACATGCCCAAATCTGCAAAAACACACTGCTAATAAAATATAGAAATATCTTGACATAAGGCTAGAATTTTAAATAATCCAGTATCCCATTATTTTTGAACAGTCTGTACGGTGCCAATTTATTCAAAAAGGGTAATTGGTCACAATGTCAGACTAAGTTTACTAAAATTATAAATCTGGCAGACCGAGTCAGCTACGTTAGTTGGAACATGGTTCTTGATTTATGTAAAAGGAGCCCTGACTATAATACGTGTACTTAGACCACGCAACCATTCAATAATGCCACATACACGTTCCAGCCTTTGGCTTAGTATGCGTAAATATAATTGTACATTACAAGAATGACCTTCAGGCAATATAAACAAGATTTTCCAATGACCAATGCATGAGACATGATGAACCAAATTGAAATTAACAATCAACTTTTTCTTCTTTTTGGTAAGCATATATTGCCGGTATTTTTCCAATGCATATATTGCACAACATTGCTATACTTGTTGCAAGTATCTATGCCTTAAACAAAGAAATAGGTTTAACAAAAAATAAATAAAAAAGTCTTCACCTTTTGCAAATTGAAGACACCAGGTTTGCTGTAAAGTTTCTAAGTTCCCAGTGATTGTCAGTGTATCTATTCCCTAATCTTTTTGCAACAAGGCAGGTAATAACAGATGGCATCAATTGTTGTAGCTGGAACAAATTACAAAATTAGATACACAAAACCTAACTTGAAATGGAACTTTTAAATAGCTGAGAGACAAACTATAAATTCTTCTGAAATATCAGATTGAAGATGATATAGCTACAACATCTATGTACTTCAACAGTTGATAGAATGCACTTCTTACATAAGGTTCAATATGTATATGAGGATTTTGAAGAAGGCTCCGGACAAGACGCATCAAAGCAAATAGCAGAGGGAAATTATTCAAATTCCGTGTAACCTGAGACAATTGGAGGAAAAAGTCACTTACAATGCATGACAAAAAGCAATCGGTCCCAATTTAAGATATCACCAGAATGACTACCTCATCAGCAACAAAGCATGTGAAGTATGGAACCAACGCATGGAGTCCGGAATCTGTTGCCAAGCTCACTAATGCTTCTTTGAAGAGGGTGGAACTAGACCTGCGAGTAAGCTCGGTAATCTTCTCAAAGTAAAGCTGCGGAGGCAACCACAGGGAAATTGGCATTAGATATTATTTTACGTGAAGTGAACAAAGAACATGGAAAAGAAAATACCTGAAGTTCCCTTGACAATACATGCTTAACAGGCAATTTAATCTCTACAGGAAGTCCATCTTCCTTGTATTCAGATTTTTTGACATCAGAGTACGCTGCAAGTGCTACAAAGCAAAGCATTATGGCAATCCAAATTAGTATTGATGGTAAAGTTAACTTTCAAATAAAATTGGTCATACTTCGGAAAACAGAACAATGATTAAGCAAATTATTAGAAATGAAATATATCATCATTAATCAGAGCAGAACGTGATTAAATAAGGGGTTTACGTAGTGGATATGCAAATTATAATTCAAAATATGATGCCTGCCTCGGCATGGTAGACTAGGAGAAAAACCTTGGTAAAGACTAGATCCCTAAATTAGCCAAGAAAATCTTGTATATAAGTTCAGCAGCTACCTTCAACAGAAGCATTTTCTGGAATTGCAGGTTGAACACCTTCAATTGCCAGCCAGTGAGCAGTAATTGATACATCAAGAGGTGCCCTTGGTAAAGGTGCTTCAATGACCTTTAATATCATGCAATATATAAGAAGAAAGTAATTGATATGTTTCGCATAGAAAACCTATATTTCAAGTCATCAACAAGCACTTACATCTTTAAATTCCACATCCTTGTCATCAATGTAGAACAAATCCTTATGTCCAGCAGCTCTCTTGAATCTCAAAGGATCTCCAGAGGCAAACCCATATATTGGCTATTGCATGTAGAAGACATACAAATTTTTATCTTTGTTTATTGAGAAGGTGAACATGAGTTAAACAAATAAAATCAGAAAATGAAAGCAATGGACAACCTTTTCAAACTTAAGGGCCGTTTGATAACCATTCCGCTTTCAGTTCTTGGTTTTCACTTTTTTGAAAACTTAAAACTGAAATCTTGTTTGGTAACTATTTTCTGTTTTAAAAAAAAAATGAAAATTAAAAACCATACACTGAAAACTCAAGAAAGTAGTTTTCAGTTTTTTTTTTAAGTGAAAACAAAAATTGAAAACTGACTACCTAAAAAGAGTTCAGTTTTAAAAAAAGTGAAAACAAAAGGTGAAAATGAAAATGAAATGGTTATCAAAGTGCCCCTTAGAAATTCCTATTTTTCAGCACAGTATCCACACACATGGGACAAACATGATACACTTTAAGACACTCAAACCCCTAACAAACCAAAAAAGGAGGAGGAAGAGGAGGGGGTTTTTTTTTTTTTGGTTTGGGGGGGGGGGGGGAGGGAATGTTGGCTTAGACATGTGGAGCACCATTCTATCCATCAGTTAATAGATCCTACCACACTACCACACTATATCAGACTGCATAACATATCCGCTCCCTCAAAATTTATTATAATGTCATTTTCTGAGAAAATGATCCCGCATCTCTTTCTATATACATATAAGAACAGTGCGTACCAAGGTGTGAAGTGGGAGAGAAGGTATTTCATAAGGTTTTGAATAACTCATGCAGCACGTCCTTGAACAATACTCAAGGCTTTGGGCTGAGTAGTCACAAAGAGAAACAAATGGGACCTATCACAGGAATGTCACAAAATCCACCGTTCTTGGGAACCAAATAGAAATGGGACCTATCGGGTCTATCTTGTAGAGGTGCTCAAATTGCATTCTCATATCAAGGCTAGGAAGCAAATAAAATGGTTTAGGGGCTTTCCTGTACAGCGTAGATAGAAGGCAAAGAAGGCCCCTTTCCAGGAGATTGTCCCAAGATTTCATTCCTATTAGAGTATTGAATACTTTTATCCTTCTAAGAATCTTTTCCCATCTACTTTATCTTACGAGTCCAGGAAGCATTTTTATGTTTAGGGTTCAGACTTAATTCCATTTTTCTGTTTAATAGAGTTCAGACTTAACTCCATAAAAGATCCCCAAGGTCTTACCATAAAGATTATAAGTTCTAACGTGTATAGTACAATGTATTAATCATGCAACAAAAAGACGCTCCAAGTATTTAACTAAACATTAACAGAGTTCCAAAAAGAAAAAAAGAAAAAAAAAGCAAGCAAACTAACAGAAAGAAAACTGAGACAATTTATAAAGCATTTAGAATGAAAGGAAGCAATCTTTACTCTCCAAGATAAAGAAAACCATAAGATTAAAACACCCCCTCAAAGGTACTCATATCTGAAAATAAATTATGGCTTACGTCCACGTTTCTTAATTTAAGTGCACTATCCACATCATCTGTAGTCAGAATAGTCCGTCTCGAATGCCGCATGCATTTAATTGCCTCCTGCAATTATAAAACAAGCATTTGTTTCCTCACTGGCATAAATGGAACGCATAGACCACATAATGAACTCAAACCTATTATTTGCTTAACTCAACGATAATCTACCTTAAAGAAGAAAACAAGAAGTTGCTTCTTGGCTTGAACTTTTCCCTTGACTCTTATTTACAGATTAAAATTTTCCCTTAGCTCTTATTTACCGATAAGAAAACCAAACATTTAAAGGGATATTTTGTAAAATAATAATTTCGAGTTACAATTGGCAATGAAGGATAAGAATTTACACTTCAACACACTCGGATACGTCCAATTCATACATCCAAATACAACAAGTAAACTAAAGCTAGTTCTTTCATTTTTGTGAAAACCAAATGTCGAACCAATCTACAACCACCCACATGCCAAATTATACTGAATAAAATTGAGCACAAACCTACTGTAACAGCATTAACAAAACAAATACCTGCATGATCTCTCGGACCCGGTACTCAACATCCGGGGTAAGAGCAAGGGCGACATCGGGGGCCAAATTGGAAATGCCGATGCTCTGTGCTACAACTTCTATCGCTTCTTTCGGCACATTACTCATCTTTATTTGATTTGACAATTTTTTTCGCTTAATTCTTACATAAGCCCTCTTGCATCAATGGCCAACGCCACTGGTTCTGTAAAGAAATTATCAAATTAACAAGAAAAACCCTAATTCGCAAAGGAATTGGCCAATTGGGTATGAAATTTTGTAGCAAATTTTGCGGGAAACGAGATTAAGCAGAAAGAAAGTCCCAAAATTTGCATACGTGGAGCAATATAGGTATATACATATATTATACATGCAATTTAAGCTGTGTAGAGAAAGAGTGTTTGAGAAGAAGAAATTTACCTGAAAACTGCACGGAATCGGACTTTAGGTTCGACTGTAATGGTGGACGACGAGTGCCGGTGATGAAGTCAGAGAGCCATTGCTGTCAGTTCAAAAGGAAAGAGGTTGCTTACTGGGCTTTGTTCCATGGGCCTACAAATCAATAAGGCCCAAACCGCAAATATTTGCCCTACGAGGCCTATAATTTGTCTTCATTGTAAGACTATCTCTAACTAAAATGGCTAGATATAACTCCATCCAGAATTATAGTTTTGCAAAAATTTATTTTTCAATGAACAAGGTCATGTCATATTCTTTTTAAATGAACAAAGTAAGGCCAAATTCATATATCATCTCCAACCAAATAGGCTAAACATAGCACTCCCGATAATCTATTAGTTTTAACTTAATATTTTAAATTTATTGGTTAATTTAATTAAACTATCGTTGGAAGCTTTCAAATCTAGTCATTGAGTTTGAATCAATTATTGAACTGAGGAGTTGGGTCCCATAAAAGGGGCTAACAGAAGGGCTACATTTGGTTTGCCTAATAGCCCTTTGCCCAAATAATAACTTTGTGGGCTTCATAGAATTATACTTCAGCCATCAATTGAAGATGTGTTTTTTGACAAATCATGGCATTTTTTGGCTTTTAGACCTTTAGTCCTCCATTAGAGATGGCCTAAGGTATTCGAATTTGAGACATTTTTCAAGACTGGAAAAATATGTATCCTTGAACTAAATGAAAGGGATAAATGTCACTAATAGTACAATCTAAGGTATCCATTGATTTGCTTACTACGGTATCAACAACTGGAAAACTAACAGCCGCTGAGGGCTCGGTTAAGAAGTAGAGTGATCAATATCAGATGTACTTGTTTTGGCTTTTAATTAATTTTTTAAATTCATGGGAAATCTAGTAATATTGTTCTTTACTTATGAGAGTTAAGACGGCGAATTCGACTCCAGTAACCTAGGGAAAAATGCCATACCCACTTGGCCAATTCCTTGGCTACTTCTTGCCTCTCATGAACAAAAGCAAGTAGCTTGTAACTCAAGCCCTTGAGAGCATTAATCATTGCTCATGTGGTCATGTTTTTTATTCATTCATCTTCCAACGTTAACGTTAAATCACCAGATATGAATGAATCGCTGTATCAAAAAAAAAAAAAAAACAAATATGTGATGAAAGTGTATAGATTTGTGTGAGAGTTCATTCCCATTACCGTTTGGATGTGGAATTTTTTCAAGGGTGTTAGTGTTCAACTATTTTTTTAGCACATCGATATTTTTATATTAAGGGAGGAGGGGTCCAGCTAAGTCACATAATAAGTAGCCTAATTTGGTATCCAATTTGCTATACATAAGATTCGAACCTAAGACCTCTCACTTCTAAGCGAAAAGGAATACCAACAGATTGTAATACTAAATGTTCAATTTTGATCCAAATTATTGAAGATAAAAATGAGGACCAACTTCTAAATTTTCGTCTATTTTGTAATACATGTATAAGGACAAGTTAAACAACCCACTCTAATGTGGATTCATAACCCATCATGTTATGTCATGTCCAACTTACATTTTGACACAACAAACTACGAACTGAGCTCAAGTCTATTTTAATTAATCACAATCTATCTCATCTAACCCACCAAACGGAGCCTAAAAGAAGAACATCCAATGGCAAACGAATGTTATAAAACTGCTGCTCTTACGAATGATTGATTGTTTTCAGTTGACGTCAGTCTTTCAAAACATGCTTCCAAATTCATTCATGTATATTAACCGATCGGAACGATGTATTAAACAATGAAAAACAGAAAATATTCAAAGATGGTACTAATACGTGCCAATAAATAAAATTTACAATTATTTTAACAACACACAAATTCACAAACCGAAAAAACCATGAAAGCCGAATACATCATCACAACGAAGACAGCAATCCACATCAAACACACACAAACTGGAAATCATGAGACTCGGTATACACTTAAAGTTGGCATTATTACAAGTATTTGATCAGCAAAAATATCACAGCAATCAGAACTACGATCCCGACGACAGATAAAAGCATGCACATGCAAGAGCAACCACCCTTTGTCCGCTTGTTCAAAACTGCCAAGTTCTTCTGCACCCGCTGTTTTGACAATTACGGGTAGACAAAATATTATGTGATTCATATTTGCTCACGTTAAACTACTGCAATTCTTAAGGAAAGAAAGCAAAGAAATCAAAACAATCAACTTCAGCGACAGTCCTTGGCATGATATAATACCCCCACAGAGACTATAACATAAACATACCCTAAAAGCTTCATCACCAAACCTCAAATCAAATCTGCAATCTAAGTCATATGATTCTAGTTCGTCTACAACCCTTTTTTTCACTGTAAGACACCACCCAAAATGGTAGCAGCAAAATATTGAATTTTTTTTAGTAGGATATTTTCTTTTTCTTTTCTTTGAGTAGGATATATTTTTGAGAAGTTGCCTACCAAACACGTTCTTTGAATTTTAAAAAGTTAAATAAAAAATTGATTTTTTTTTTTAAATCAAATTTTTTAGTCCTATTCTTAAGTAGGATACCAAATGGGGCCTAAGCTATTCTCCTCACGATCTCAGCCAAAACCCTCAGTTTGGAGTTACATATGTAAAAACATGAACCACTGGCTGTCCAAAAGATGAAAAAAGAATAAAGATTTATCACTTAAATCCCATCACTTTCCTTCAGTCTCTCTAGCAATTCCTAACCTTTAAAGTAACATAATTTTCTTCACTTGACAGCATCTAATATTTCCTCCTATCGGGCTTACTTTAGTAATAATTTTTTCCTAAGAAATACCAAGCAAAGAATTAACTACAGCCCACACTAATCAAAATGCATTTTATGAACGACAAGATGCTCTAAAAATTTTCCACCAGGGACACATCTTTTGCTTGTCAAGGTACACAATAGTCTTTTTTTCACTGTTGATTTTCTTTGTTTCCGGGAATTAAAACAGGTGGGAAGAAAAGACGTGTGCAACAGTCATTTGCTAAACAAGGGTCCACAATAATTTAAAAAACGAGTTAGATGATTACCCGTAGCCGAGAGTCCGTAACTTCCACATGATCATCCAAGTCATCCTGCACAATGGGCCAGAAAGAATAAGTAATACTGAGAGTACAAATACATTTTAGATAAATAAGTAATTACTATTTAGATGGAAGAGTCAAAAGCACAAGTAATAGAATGCAAGGACATACAATAAGTCTAGTGTGTAGGTCAAGTTCTTCATTGACTGCCAATGCAATATGTTTTGTGCTTATTACAGTCTCCTCCAATTTCTCAAGCCCCTCATCTTGCTCTGCTTCATAGGAACATCATGTAAAGATCAATATTGTGAAAATCAAACCATGTGCAAATATTACAGAACAACAAATAGTTAGATCTGGGATAAGGAGCTTGCCTTTCATAATTTGTCGTTGCAAACCAACAAGGCCGTAGTTGTCTAGTCCAACTGTTCTTCCCATGGCATCAGTTTTATTTATTTCTGGCCCCAGCAAGCTATCTCGGTTGGAAGAGTTGGACGTCAATGTTGAAGCCATCTGCTTCACTTCGATCTTAAATTTCCTATCATATCCTTTCGACGATTCATCTCTTTCTCTGATCTGAGTTTCAAAAATGGCAGCATAAAGAATGTCATACAATGATAGCCAGAAGTATCTTTAACAGTATGAAGGACTATCATACAATAACTATGTTTGATTTTGATCAAAAGTTTCATGAGCTTTTATCACAAACGGTGATCACATGAAATGCATACTCAAAGAACTCATAACTTGGGAATAAACCAGGGACGGAGCCACTATAGGCCTAGAGGGGGCGGATGCCCCCACTCAAATTTTTTTTTTTTTTGGGTGCAGAAAAAATAAAATAAAAATTAAACCCTATATGTTAATTGGTATAAAGGGAAATGTGCTAAGGAGACTCTTTCAAAAGTGGACATCTCCATAAACTTTCCATCACCTCATGTTTTTAGTACAATCACTGTACCAACATCATTAAACATTGTGCCAAAAAAACATGAGGTGGTGGAGAGTCTCCTTAGCATTTCTCTTAGTATCAATATGACTGACTTCGCCAACAATGATTCTAAGTGTTTTGTATAAAAAACATTATAGATTAATATATAAGTGTTTGTTTAGTAAATTTTTTTAGCTTTTTAATTGTAACTTTGTTGTTTGAGGATGCCCCCATTCATACAAATCTCTAGCTTCGTCCCTGGAATAAACCCCGTCACATGCTACATTGACCAATAGAAACCGGAAATGAAAGAAGAGCATACAACATTGTTCAATTCCTATATTTGTTCCAATAGCAGTTTGGGGTATGCATTAAAACAAGTCAACTATGATGACTTACATGTGCTGTTTTCCAGGGAGTTTTGACAGAAGGGACTGTAAGCTATCAAGTCTAGTCCCCAATATTGTAATCTTCCGCCGTATAGCAGAGACATGACGCTGGGTGTCAGGACCTGCAGGCAATGTACTCAGTTCAGATATCATACCACTGATATCATCAGCAAGTTTTGTTGCTTCGTTATATTCCTTTATCCATGAGTCCGAAGAAGATGCCATTGTACTGAAATAAAAAGGGCAAATTAACTCATCAATAACATTCTCAGGGATTGCTTTTGTACAAATGAACTCAATATCTTTCAATATATTTGGGCCTTGCATAGGATTATAAAAATCAGATAACAAGTAAAATACAAAGGTTAACCATGGGCAGGAGATTATATCTAGAATAGCACCGCGTAAGGATATTTCATCTTTCTGGTTAGCACAATTTTTATTTTTCCACAAGAACTTTACCAACCCACCATATCTTTGACCTTAAGCTGAAAAGACAGAGGATTTATTTGGTACGAGTAACATAGCATGAGCAGTACTTGTTTGGTTGATAAGCACTTAAGAAACAATAATAAATTCGCATCAAAATCAACAGTTCCCTCTATGTAATCCTGCAGGTAATTTCCAATTAATTTAAACCTATCAATACCAAAGCATTGTCACCTAGCTATAAATTCAGCCCAAACTACTAAGTGCTTTTTGGCACAATAAAAGTGCTGTGTTGACCGAGTGCAAACCAAGAAACTTCTCAGAAATGCATATCCAGCTGAACACGGTTACACCACCATTTTTTGGAGCATAAACTTCCACATATAAGATCTCTATTTATTTAGTCCAATCTTACCGACTCTAAAAAGAGGTCGCACTTGGTGCGATGGCAAGTGCCTTCGCCCATGAGCGGTAGGTCTCGGGTTCGAGACTTGGGAGCAGCCTCTCCATAAATGGGGGTAAGGCTAGCCGACATTCACCTCTCCCAGACCCTGCGTAAAGCGGGAGCCTTGTGCACTGGGTACGACCTTTTTACCGACTCTAAAAACTACTATATCCATGACGAACCCAAAACATTAACATACATCAGGAACATTGCCTAATTCCAAAATGGTAACAATTACACTTTCTACCAGAATTTGATCAAAAATCTACAACACCATATAAAGGACCTCTACCTTAGAAAAATTGAAGGAAACCAGCTAACAAGTACATTGCATCAACTCATCACAAAAATCCTGCTTGTCTCGTTTACTGTGGAATGCAGCGACACCGGCCATAACTAAGCTCTTAATTTGCCTAATTCTAAGTAAGTTGAGTGGACCACATGAACATTCTTCCACCAATTCTTCTAATCGATAGAACTCAAGTCTCAACCGAGAGCAACAAAAGTAATAAGAAAATTCTCAAAGCAAAAAGATGCAAATCGAGTGCTTTTGAAGCAACAAATCCACAATTCAAGCTGGGTAAAACAATTTGAACCAATTCAAGTAAATATTCAATCAAAGCAACTGATGCCCAGATAAAATCGATACAAATTCAAAACTTGAAACAAATTAAGAACTAATTAAAACAACATGCACAAACCTAAACGATCCCACATAACCCATAATTCGCCAAAAAAAAATTGCTGATCGACCCTAAACTCTAATCGAAATAGTCAAAACGAAAGGAAGAAATTTTTGATCTCGATCATAAATGTACGGGGGGAAACAAGATTGAAATAGATATGATCCCAATGTAGAGGGTGATGAATTACCTGATTTAGGGATTGCGATTGTGGGCCGTGGAGAATGGGGAGATCGGAACGAGGTCGTATCGGGATAGTGACGAGAATGGAGACGAGGGAGACAGTTTAACTTTAAAGGGAGAAGACGACGTCGTACGGCACAACCAACCAACAACACAGGGGAGAGGGACAGAGACAGGGAGAGGGAAGGCGAGAGGGCAGAGACATTGTCCGACCCCGATGTCGACGTGGTGGACAACGCACCCAGAAATATTTAAAAGTATTTAGGTTGCTGTGTGTCCTACACGGTGTCTTTCGTGTCGCCGTACCCAAAGTCCTATCCTTCCTTTACGTTGCCAATCGTATCCAACCCGCCAATTTTTTAATTTAATAAATCTGTCGTTCGATAAAAAAAAAAAAATTCCACTTAATTACACCTTCGATTAAGAAGACTTAAAATAATTATTAGTTATTTAGTAAAGTTTTATACTATTGTTTTTGAATAATTATTTTGTAAAATGGAAATGATAAATAAAATTTTTTATTTTTTATAATTTGAAAATGCATTTCAATTAAGTAGTCATTTTAATTAAAAAAAACTATGTTCGTCTATTTTTTTCATTAAACCAAGTCGTCTTGATGATATTCAGTTTTGATGAACTTTGTTAGGATGATATATAAATAAGAGATGAAAATTCGATTGTTGGACTGGTGTCCCTCAATGGAAGAGGAACGATTTCAATAACATATATTTTAACATGGTGTTGTAGTGGTGACTCATCACAAAAACATCACGTTAAAATATATGTTGTCAACAGTTAAAAAGGAGCAATAAATTGCCACCATCCCCCAATCACTATTATTTTCACCATTGGTGAGGATGGTGGTTCCAATGGCGGTGGTTGAGGGTGGTGACAACAATAGGGATTGGGGGATGGTGGCAATAGTGGGCTGACATCATGTGTCAACAGTTAAAAAGGAGCTATGAATGGTAGTGTGAGAGTAATGATGGCAAGGGTAGTTGCATTTATAATCCATGTTTTTTATTTATCCAATTTTCAATTCGGTTAGGTAAATGATTTTCACGCTCTCCTACTCCCTCAGCATAGTGTTCTCCATTCTTGGCCCTTTGTTTCGGACAGGGTTCTCTTAGGATCCCTTCTTCTAATCTATCAAATCAGGAAATTCGTGCGGTTAAAAATTGTTCCAACGATTACGCATAGGAATTCACTTTAAAAGTTATAATAACTTAAGCCATTGGATCAATTTTCAACGACACAAATTCTCTAATTTGATGGATTAAGAGGAAGGGATCCGGAGAGGATCCCTTTCCCTTTGGTTTGAATAAAAATCAAATGACTTGAATTAGTAAGTGTGTGTAGAAAGTGTGAAGAGGTGTGTGGAACATTTTCTTTTGTTAAATGAGATGCAACGCAGGGACCATGCTGAAAACACAGTGACCAAAATAAGGGCTGGTTTGGTATTGATGTGCTTTGAAAAAAAGCTGCTGTGAAAATAAGCGGCTGTGAAATAAATCAGCAGAGCGTTTGGTAAACTTTTTTGTAAAAGTGCTTTTGGAAAAAAAAAGCAGTCTGATAGTGGGTCTTTTCATTAAAGGAACACTGTAGCCCCGTGTGCTTTGAAAAAAAAGCCAGTTTTCCAAAGCTGCAAATAGTAGCTTCAGCTTTTGCCTTTGATTTCAGCTTATTCTCACAGCAGCTTCCAAAAGAAGCCCTTTTTTTTCAGTTTACCAAACACCTAAAATCCTAACAGCTTTTTTTCATAGGTGCTTTTTTTTTAAGCACCTCATTCCCAAACTAGGTCTAAGAATCTGAGCCAAAACGCTAGCTCGAGTTTCCAAAGCATAACTGGAAAATATGGCCTTATTTACCAAAAGGAGAGGAAGTCAGAGTAAAACTACGTTTAATGATGTTTGTTTTGAACAGAGCAGTAAAAGCCAAGGCACCAAATTTGCAACTCACAATGTTGGGTTTGTTTGCATCTTGATAACCAGGCCAATGGAGGAAAACTCGAAAAGGAAGCGCAGAATTCAATTTCCAGAAGATTTGTTCTTAATGGAAGATGGAAAATACATGAATTATTCAAACTACAACACACGCATTACTGCGTAAGCAACCCAAATAATCATCTTACACAAGAAACGCCTGATCTAAATAAAGGGCAGGCGATCAGAGGAATAAATTTCCCGTGAAGGTAAATTTATTTCATTTCACACTGTCGATTATCAGGCTTTTAGAGACTCCCCAACTTTAACAAGTTCCTCTAGTGCCTTCGAAATCTGTGGCTCTGTTAAACCTTCCAATCGAACGCCCCTCTCAACACCCATGTCTGTTAAATAATCAAACATTAACTTTACGGAGCAATATGGTGCAAAATTCAAGTTAACAGCACACGACTAAAGAACCAATAAAAGAACGTACATAGGTTGAATAAAAGTACATTAAGAATGAGCAATATAACGAGGACTTAGATGGAACAAGTTCACCGCCACGTGGCGTTCTCAATCCAATAACACATTGCCATGTGGAGAAAAACTTGCACATGATATATTGCATTATTGGACGAGGGAAGCCAAATGGCGGTGAACCCATTCCATCCAAGTCCTCCCATATTAGACCATGACACAGTGTGGCAGAAGGTGCGTCATTAAGTACAGGCACCTTATTGTGAAGGGAGAGTGTTGTTTACCATTCGTCAAGTAGTCATATCCAAACCCACTTTGCTGTTAATCCCCACCCAAAATGAGAACTAGATAGGTAAAGCTGTTATCCAATAGGGTGAAAGCAGGCAGACTCGAGTCCCTACACCTTTAAGGTTGCTTATTGCAAAATTTCTCCATACTTGAAATACAATTCTAACATGACCTATTCAAATTAGTCTATGCATGTCCATAACATGTGCGTTATTGGTAAAATAGAAAGCAAAGCCAAACCTTGGGATTTCTAAAGGATTCCGTACAGAAGAAATGAAAAAAAGGAAATTAACAAAAGTTTTAGCTCCAACTTTAAAAAATCATATGAACCAACTGGTGGAGGCTAGCTAGAACCATTATAGTTTGGCCACCTGAAAAAGACATGTTCTATTGCTAGCAATCATGCTCTTCTAAGTGCCGGAACCTAAATTCTTCTTCTTCTGACCTCTGGTGGCATCTTCAACTTAAACAACAACAACAACAACAAAGCCTTTTCCCACTAAGTGGGGTCGGCTATATGAATCCTAGAACGCCATTGCGCTCGGTTTTGTGTCATGTCCTCCGTTAGATCCAAGTACTCTAAGCCTTTTCTTAGAGTCTCTTCCAAAGTTTTCCTAGGTCTTCCTCTATCCCTTCGGCCCTGAACCTCTGTCCCGTAGTCACATCTTCGAACCGGAGCGTCAGTCGGCCTTCTTTGCACATGTCCAAATCACCGGAACCGATTTTCTCTCATCTTTCCTTCAATTTCGGCTACTCCTACTTTACCTCGGATATCCTCATTCTCAATCTTATCCTTTCTCGTGTGCCCACACATCCCACGAAGCATCCTTATCTCTGCTACACCCATTTTGTGTACGTGTTGATGTTTCACCGCCCAACATTCTGTGCCATACAACATCGCTGGCCTTATTGCCGTCTTATAAAATTTTCCCTTGAGCTTCAGTGGCCTACGACAGTCACACAACATGCTGGATGCACTCTTACACTTCATCCATCCAGCTCGTATTCTATGGTTGAGATCTCCATCTAATTCTCCGTTCTCTTGTAAGATAGATCCTAGGTAGCGAAAACGGTCGCTTTTTGTGATCTTCGCTAAATTGCTCCGGTCATTAGTGTGGATAAGTATATAAATGGATAGAGATAGGAAAGCAAACACAAGATGTACGTGGTTCACCCAGATTGGCTACGTCCACGGAATAGAAGAGTTCTCATTAATTGTGAAGGGTTTACACAAGTACATAGGTTCAAGCTCTCCTTTAGTGAGTACAAGTGAATGATTTAGTACAAATGACATTAGGAAATATTGTGGGAGAATGATCTCGTAATCACGAAACTTCTAAGTATCGGAGTGTGGTATCATCTTGACTTGCCTTATCTGTCTCATAGGTAGATGTGGCAGCTTCTCTGGAAGTACTCTTCCTCCATCCAGGGGTGGTATCTTTAACTGGTGGAGATGCACAAGGTAATGTATCAATTTCACTTGAAGCTTACTTGTAGTTTCAGGCTTGGTCAAGCGCGATACAAACCATGTAGTAGGAGTCCCCCAAGTCGCCGAGCTAGGGGATTTGCTGAAAGAGGTGACAGACAAGGTAAGCAATCAGAGCTGCGGCTGATTCTTCACCTTCTCCCCATCTTGCAGCAGCATGAAGGATAAAGAGAAGAAAAATGAGAAGAGATGATATGGGATACTTTTGCTTTTGAAGAAGTAACTTTCCACAGGCTTATTCTTGAACTGAGCTGGAGGGTTTTCTGGTTTCCTCCAGAGTATAAGGCCGACTGAAGAATTTGAGGGTCAAAACAAGTCCATCAAATCTAGAGTACGTTCGACCCTGCTGATATGGGATACTTTTGCTTTTGACAGAGTAATGGATGGATCGGCACGTGTGCTGTTACGCTTGTCTCCACATGCTTCCTTGTATCCTTCGCACTTGCCCTATCTGTTCCTCAAGCAGATGCGGTATCTTCCCTGGCAACATAAGATGTTGAAGATGAGTACTCGAGAGCAATGCCAGGTAAGTAATCAGGTAAGGGGTTCCAGGCTGTCAGTTCTTGGCTGGGAGCTTGATTTCAAGTGCTGACTGATTGCTCTCTTTCTCCTTGTCTTGCAGGTAAAAAACAAGGCCAAAGGAAAAGACAGGGAAAAAGCATGATATGGGATACTCTTGCTTTTAACCCTGATGATATGAGATATTCTTGCTCTAGTATAGCTTGTTTGCAGAGGTATTATCGGGGGGAAAGAAAGCTGAATATTTCGAAAGGCTTCGTTGGGAGTGCCCTCTCAGATATGAGGAAGGG